TACTTGAGAGATTATTGTCTATATAGCACTTCCCACTTCTTTTCCCACTTCTGTTGCTATCATTTCAAAAATTTGTGCAATTTAGCTTCCAATTTCATCTATCTCATTGAATTCTGGGCTTGTCCTGGGTGGGCTGGGGGTTGCATTTTGCATTTATATCTTGTCATTTTCTATTTTTTCTTTTATTTTGTTTTCCATGTTGATGCTTGTTGATTTCTTATGATATATAGCTTTGTTGCTAGTATTCAGGTTGTCCTAGAAGATGTCTTTTCTTCAAGGACGTCCTCTAGATGTAGGTGGTTCTTCATAGCTACCTGAAGACCCTATCTTCCCAATTTGTAAAGGATGCAAAATTACTATTTGGCTCAGCTCCCAACCCTTTGGTATTGGGCTGTGGTCGTGATTATGACCCCATACAATCGCAGTATTATCATGCAGGGGAGAAAAACTACACATAACATTTATGACATCCTGACTAAATTAGACAGTAATAGCAATAATTTAAAGTACAGCTTCACTACTGATTGACTATTGTAACCATTAACCTGCTACCCCTGACTACAAGAGCAAACTCTAAAACTATATAACAAAATCATACATATATCTTTTACTTTTATGCAGTGATTTTTCCCCTTAGTGGAATGATTTTATCCTTCTGCAAGGGAGAATAAGGGTAGTAAAAGACCTCTGGTTGGTACAGTTCTGTGATAGTGTCAGTGTTTAATCCAAGAAATGTCCTGGGTATGGAGTTGCCATTGGCATCTGAAGAGGGGGACTAGGACTGCTCTACTGTTGGTGGAGCTCTTCAGAGCCCAACTGCTGGCTCCTTGCTGCTGCTTCAGACACTTCCATATTGCTGGGCTCACTGACATGTGTGCACCAGTGTGTCCCAGATCTGGCTTTTGTGCTAGGTCTTGGGGTTGTGGTTGGTCCACCTGCCACAGACTTGTGTTCTTAAACTCCTCTGACAGGCCCCATCATCCTAGGGATAATCTTGCCATTTCATATGAGGTGCATAATTCAACCCTTGCCTCTGTTGCTGTCTTTTAAGCATATTTCTAAGATTTTTGTTTGAATTAAAATGTCATTTCTTTTAATGGTTGTCTAAAATGCTATTACACAAGTACCTTAAATTATTGATCATTCAGTAATCGATAGACATTTAAAGTGATAGTACTTGTTAGCTTTCATGAGCAATAAACAGTCATGTGCAAAATAGTGTTGAAGTATGTCTCCATATCTTTTGTATGTCCTGGAAAAGAATGAATGGGTATCATGTGAACTTTTATTCTTTGTACAGTAAGTGTGCCATTCGAAGAGCATGTTGAAATCTGATCTCCTAGGAGATACTAAAGGAATGGAGTCTATCTGTGTAATTGGTTCATTTAGAATATAATTAAACGTAGACACATTAGGTTAGTAAGCTTCCATATTATTGACTAATCAGAAGAAAGACTACAATATGTGCACACACAGACACACACACACACTCAGTCCTCATTCTCAGTCCTCAGACTCTCTCTCTCTTTTATAAAACGTATTATTACAGGGTCTACAGGGTCTCACTACATAAATCAGGCTCCTGATTCTCCTGTTTTCATCCTCCCAAGCGCTGGTATTACAGGTGTGCGCCACCACACCCAGTCTCACTTGAGGTCTCAGTGTACGCCAGGGACATAGCCTGCATGGTATACTGGGGGATGGGACCCCTGGCTCCTGTGTCTGCCTAAGCAGGTGCTTTAATCCACTGACCTATCTGAGTGCCTCCTCAGTCTCTTAATATGTGATGTTGTTCAGGTGTGGTTGCACCTGGCAGTAATCTCAGCCCTCAGGAGGCTGAGCCGGAAAGATTGTTGGGATATTGAGACCAGCCTGGGCTACAAAGTGAGAAAGGCTGCTTGAAATGCATAGTGAGTAACTGTCTCAAAAAGACCGAAAGAAAAAAAAAAGTGATGCTGTGTATGATCTCAGAACTGTGTCAGCAAGAAAGGTATCACCATTTAAAAAAGAGCCAGAAGATACTTTTTTTTGGTACCTTATTAAGTGTGAAGTACTGTGTTTAGATTCAGAAATGAACTGACCAAAACTGTGTATTTTATTGTTGCAGAAACTATAGAACTTTTCCAACATGATTCACTCTTTACATTTGCAATATGACTTTATGGATATTCTCCATATCTTCACCAAAACATGTTACTGATCCTGTCTGTGTGCCTGAATGTAGTCTTACTGGTTTCTTATTCTTGCCTGATGCATATTAATAGATATGGTCTTCACAGCTTCAAACACATGAGTTCTTAATTTTAAAGGATATCAGAATTATGAATATTATATGAAATATGAGGAAATAGACATGAGGTACATGTAATACGGGTTCATTAATTGCCCTTCCCTTAAAGGGAAAATTAACATATAATTAAATTGGAGCTTAGGGGATCAGAAACTGTATTTCTATCTCTTATGGGTTTGAGACACCAGACCAGTCTAGTACAGCAATGGGTTATGTCACAGATAGGAATATGATTAAAATTTGATTGAACATCAATATTATGAGCTTAGAACTAGAGAGAGTTTATAGATAATGAAGAACAAAAACCAGTGAGAAAGAAATGAGAGATCTGGTGAGTTTGGCCTGTCATGACTCTAGGACAGGCTTTATTATAAAGATGAATGTAAAAAAAAAAGTGCAGTATTCAAATCTTATGGTTTTTACCTAGAAAAAACTGAGGCCTAGCACTGTAGCATAGCTGTAGAAAGTTTTCTGGACACATGCAAGAATCTGTATTAAATACCATTGCCAACAAAAAGAAGGAATAAAAGTTGAAAGTGAGAAAGAGAAAAGATAGAGCCAGATAGTGCCTGCTTCTATTCTCAATACACAAGAGGCTGATGGAGGAGGATCGCTGTATTTTCAAGGACATCCTATGCTACATAGTTCAAGGCCAACCAGAACTACAAAGTGAGACCATGTTTTTAAAAATAAAAAGAAGGCTGGGTGAGATAGCTCAGTAGAATAAGTACTTGCCTGGAAAGTGCAAGGTCCTGAGCTTGATCCTTGGTACCACCAAAAATAAATAAATACATACATAAAATAAAATAAAAAGGCTGGGGATATAGCTCAGAGGCATAGCTCCTGGCCTGGCAAGTGGGAGGTCATGAGTTCAATATCCGATACCAGAAATAAAATAAAAATAAAAAAGGGAGAAGATATGAAAAGAAAAGAAGCTGGACATGGTGGTGGATGTGTGTAATCCCAGCACCAGGCAGCTGAGGCAGGAGGATCATTGAGAGTTCTAGACCAGCGTGTGCTACAAAGTGAGCTCAAGGCCAGCCTGAACTCCATAGTGAGACTCTGTCAAAAAGAAAGAAAGAAAGAAAGAAAGAAAGAAAGAAAGAAAGAAAAAAAGAGAATAGAGCTGAACTAAAATTGGATTATCTAAAATTGGAATTATGGATTGCTGTGGTAGTGGAAAACTGGTCACCTGTGGCATCCAGGAAGCAGTAACAAAAGAGGGTTATGAATGGTTACTGTGCTAAAGCATGACCACAATGACCTTCTTCCAATTGATCTGCAAGTTGCTAGACTGAGGAGGTCAGAAAATGCAAAGAAATGTTAAATTCACAACAACCAAGCAGTGCAAAAACAAGCCTGTGTACATGGCCTTTACAAGACATTTTATATTCAAATTTATACAGGAGAAATATAACTTCTGCCCTGTTAGATGTCAAATGCACGAAGTTTGTGGGCTTACAACATTGAAAAATGAAGTTGCAAACCAAAAGATGTTAGAAAATTTTTCTTGGGACTAAGGTAAAAAGAATAGCTCTTGGAATTTCAGGAGTGGCCCCTAGTATGGTGGTGCCCATGGGGGCCCATTGTCAGGGGTAAATTATACAGCAGTCACACTGTGGTTACATTGTGGGCCAAACTACAATCAACATGCAGAATTTTAGCTGCTTACCTAATATTAATCTGCAGGCAAACAAGTCATGTAGCGAGCATACATGGAAAGAGCAAAGACATTGGGTGGAAGGGATGATGAGTTCAGCTCATCTGGTCACTGACCTGGGTGACTGATGCCTATCGGGATTTAGTGGAGGAGGTAGCAGTAATTATATGTTCAAGTTACTATTTATTCCTTTAGGAGGTACAAAGCCTAGGCATTGTATCTTTACCTTGAGACCTGTCTTTCTTTAGATGTTACTAAACTATGATTTTTTTTTTTAAATGTATTTAGTACAGGTTCTACAGGGTCTCACTCCGTAGTGATTCTTCTGTTTTCAGCCTCACAAGAGTTGGGATATCAGGTGGGCGCCACCACACCTAGTCTCAATCGCGGTCTCCACGCACCTTGGGGGCGGTACCGCCGGGGACTGTCTTTTTCTTTTTTTCATCTTTACTCTTTGTAGATCATTGCTATCATTTAACTCCAGTTTCTTCATTTACACAGTAATTGTACTGCTTTTGTGGAGATATATTAATATAGGCTGACAATGAATAGAGGTAAATGTCACAATCTTGAAATGAAGCCTGCTGCACCACTCCAAAATATTCACCTAGCGTCCCTTCTCTCTATAACACTGTGTCCTGACCATCCCTGGGTTCAGTGTGTTTCTTGAAATCAGAGGATTGATTTTTCCCTAGGATACAGAACATAAAACCTTCCGAACACATTTGCGAATACATTTACAGGAAGAGCCCACTGAGTCCCTTAAGAAAACAGGTGCAGCACTGAAAAGGTAGTGGTAAAGCTCTTCAATGCAAGTATCCCCGAGGGCGAGTGAGATCCCCATTGTACAAGACAGGCTAGTCCACGAGTCTCTATACTAAAGTCTTTCATTACAAATTCACTCCTGCAGGGAGGGGTTTGTCTTCCTGCCTACCCTTGGCTCCGAGGGAGGGCAATAGAGCAGGAGCCAATCAGTGATTGAGGGGCGGGCTAAAAGAACTGTCCAATCAGGTGGGCCAAGGTAGGCGGTCTCTTCCTGTGTTATGGCGTCAGTTGTGTGTCTAGAGCGCAATACTGGCAGGAGAGTGCATTTTAGACCCCGTTTTGTGGCTTGTATTCGCCGTGACTTGCTTCAGAGAGAACCTGGGAAACCCTCAGGCCACGTAATGGTGACGTTGTGGGATGGGAGCCCTAAAATGGGGGTGGAATCTGGCGAGACCAGTGAGAAGTAGTCAGAACCAACTCTGGTGGCTTGAGCCTCCGTGCTTAGCTCAGTCCCAGGGGTCATCCAGTGAGTCAGCCTCTGCTCCTTTTGCCCATACCTGAGGCAACAATAGTTCTGGCTGCCCAGAACCCTGTTGTCAGTGTGACACCACCACTGCTGCCCTTGTACGTCCACCAGTCTGGGCAGAGAAAGGAGCTTGGGGAGACCTTGACAAAGATATGTTACGGAGCTGCGTGCAGCTGTAGTGAGCGAGGTCCTCTTTCTTTTACCTGCCAGCAGGAGATCAGAATCCCCCGTCAGCAAGGGGGATCTGAAGTTTATAATATCTGTGATGCAGAGACTCATCGTCACAACACCTCTAATTTCTGTGTTTTAAATAACAGCCATCTTCCAAATTTCGAGTATGTCGTCATATCCAAACTCATGATCGGTGTTGGCATAAATCGTGAGAACTGAAAGAAGTATGGTGTGTGGTGATGTGGTTCAGGTGGAGCAGTTGCCGAACATCCCGTGAACGCACGTGTTCCATACAGAGGAATGCAAAGGAAATTTCTAATCTTATTTATTTAGGTGATACCTCTGCACACAGACTATGTGAGAACTGCCATTGCGTTTAGAATTCTGAGAGCGATGGAGCAGATGTTAGAGTGTTATCAAGGGCAGGGTGAAGTGTACTTGCTAAGGATAACTTCTAGTATGGGCTGTCTATTAAAGCCTCGATGAAAAATGCCTAAATTTGGACATTGCACCATATCTGTATGAGTCGAAAGGGGAGTCATCTCTATTAATAGCTGTAAAGCTTGGCCTAATCATAGACATTGTTTAAATACTGAAATGCTCTCAGAGCTACAGTTTAAAACTAGTACTGTGTGGAGGAGAAGCCCCCAGTAGAATTTGTGCAGGGATAGCAATAGTTAGGCAATAGTTCTGTTTAGGGTGTAAAAGGATAATGGAAAAAATGTAAAATATTTGCATGATGAAGGGTGCCAATACTAGGAATTACAAAATTGAAGAGGTCTTCTGAAGGTGAGATTGTTCTTTGGGTGTGCCCAAAGGAGAAATTCTGTGCTTGCTTCATCTTTGAATTGTTCAAAAGTCACGATCTTGAAGAAAAGAATAGAACTGGGTAATAGATAAAAATCTCTTATCATTGATCAGTTCATGTCATCATCTTTTTAAAATGTATTTAGTACAAGGTCTATAGGGTCTCACTAGGTAGATCAGACTCTTAGTGATCCTCCTGTTTTCAGCCTCCCAAGTACTGGGATTACAGGCACGCGCTACCATGCCCAGTCTCAATCGCCTTCTCAGCACATCCCTGAGGTGGGGCCGGCACAGCAAGCCAGGGATTGAACCCTGGCTGCTGAGCTCTGCCTGAGCAGGTGCTTTAGTCTGCTGAGCTATCTGGCTGGCCCTCATGTAATCATTTTTAAGGCAAAATTGGAGATTAGAAAACTGTCTAGGGGCTGGGGAGATAGCTCAGTAGAATAAGCAAACAGAAGGGCCTGAGTACAATCCCCAGTTCCGCACAAAAAAAAAAAAAAAAAAAAAAAAAAAGACTGGCCTTGGCATAAAAAGTTTTGTGGACATGCATTGAAGTAGAATGAAAGGGATTACCCCAAGACATGAAATATTTCAAGGTATGCTCGATGTTTTTGTTTTTTTTTTTTTTTTTTGAGAAACTGAACTCTGGAAATTTGCTCTGAGCAATGTACCCTCAAATTTCTTTATAAGTTACCCACAGTGTGTGATATTTTAATAGTTTTTGTACCCCATTAACTGTTGGGATAATATGCATGAGCCATTATGCCAGTTTAAGATTGGGTTCTGTTCTGGTTTGTATAGTTGTCCACCCAAAGCTTCATGCAGTCATGGGGTGACGGCCTTCTAGAATTTCTGATTAAGTTAGGATCTAATGCAGGAATTATGGGATGGGTATGAGTGCTATACCTGGCCTGTGGCAGAGAGCCTGAATACAATAGAGGAGTGGGAGAGTTGCTTGCTCTCTGCTGCCACAGTTGCTCTTGCTGTTTTGCTGCCCTGAACAGCTGCCCTCTGCCATGTACCACTCTACCTTAGAGCTAGCTGATTATGGACTGAAACCTCCACAAACTGTGGACTAAATAAACCTTTCCTACCTTATTGCTGGGTGTCAAATATGTTGTCCCAGCAATGAGAGAAAAATGACTAAGACAGGTTTTTTTTTTTTTTTTTTTTTTTTTTTTTTTTTTTTTTTTTTTTCATTTGGTGTTCTTGTTTGATCATGATTTACCAAGATTTCAGTGCTTGGGTAAAGAAAAAATCAGTGAGTCATGGTTATTCACCTCTTTGCTCTCAGGCACTTGGGAGCCTGAGATAGGAAGTGTTTGAGCACTCAGCCTGGACAATTGAGCAAGATCTCCTTTCAATGTGATACCTATATTCTGTGATTTATCTTCACTAACAGTAATCCATTTATCATACCCTAGGCCCTTTTATAAATTTCCGGTATTGAAGAATAAAAGGAAAATTATTCAATGTAAACCGTGTTTTGCATTTTTTATTTTACTCTTTTTGCACACTAGCGATATATGGCACAGTACTTGCTCATGAAGAGGGACATGAGTAATATATCTCTCCTCTGTCAGCAACAGGACCCCAATGGTCAACATGCAATGATTTTTAGTGCAGTGTATTCAACAAAGTGCATGAGATGTTTAGTATTTTATTATGATTTTGTGTTATGTTACATATATGTCACCAAACACAGATAAATAAAGTATATTGAGAAGTTTTAAATAATCCAAGGCTCACAATAATGTCAGTCCAAGCCTTGATCAGGCATATGCTGTACATTTCAACACATTTACTATTGAAATTTCTTTGGGTAGATTATGACATTTTTCCTTTCTTACCTTAGTAGTATGTCTACTTCAACTCTTCAAAAAGTGCTCTAAAACATATTACTCTTCATATTGTTTCCTGCTTTGAGAGTTGTATTTATCAGATTCGTAAGAGCCACTGAATGAAGACAACAATATGAATATGAATATCATTATTAACAGGTGCCCCAGTCTCATCCTACTGTCTGGCTTGCAACACCATAACAAGGGGATGGGATAAGAGATTTTCATTGACCAGACAGGTCTGAGCAGTTGGAACACAAGCCATCAAGCATGTACAAGGCTCATGAGAAAGCACTTGTATTCCTAGTTCTAATTATGCTGATTTTGGAAACCTTTCTAACTGTTTGGACCTTGGGTAAACGTCTTCCTTTCTATCCCAGTTTACCTATTCATGTAATTCCATTTCTTTGACATTAAAGAGCTGAAGGCATATCTGTCCACTATGGTTAATTCCAAGATTTTTACCTTTGCAGTGATTTTTGTCTGTGGATGACTAGATGACCGTGAGCCTTTATTACATTTTCCACAAGTTCAAATTGACTGCAATACCTGAGTCATCCTAATTTTTCTTGACTGAGCACACGCTGTGGACACACCTTTCCTGTTGGTGTCCTGGAGATGCTAATGGGAATACCCTGTGACACAGTCAATGTAAAGCACAGGACTTCAATTCAAAATACGTTTCAGTCTATGTCTGCATGTGGGTGTCATTGTATAACATGTAGCAGTGCAGCCTGTTCTGGCTGCTACACTGGTGACATCTGAAATGTAGTGCAGGCAGTGAGGACAGAGGTGACAGTACAAGAACAGACAGAGTACTGTGTAAAGAGTCACTGAGATTTGGGGTGTAGTGCTACATTTTCAGTAGGTCTTGGAGGTCTTTGCCCAGTCTCACACCTTGTTGATCAGGAGTTTGTGTGTCATCTGTATCTGCTATTTTAGTGCTTTTCAGGTAATGGTGATTGTGCACATCAGAAAGCATACAAATGTGTTTCAGTGATTTTTTTTTGTGATTATGACATAGAGCATAAAAGATTTAGTATCATCTTGGGGATGGAGGTCATAGAACAATCTAACAATCAGATTAGAAGGATTCATTCTTTGTTCAGTTTGTTTATTTTTTATTGAGTTAGGTTCTCACTATGTAGTTCCTGCTGGCCTTCAACTGACTGTGGAGCCCACACTGGTCATAAACTTAGGGTAGTCCTCCTGAATCAACTTCCTAGATACAGGGATTATAGATACGTACAAACTTACATGGCTCTGACTTCAACTTTTTTGAGAGGAGTTAAGACATCTTTGGAAAGATGCCCTCTTTAGAAAGAGACCCTGGCCCCATATATCGCTAAAACTGTTGTTTTTGTATTCTTTGCACAGTGTGTCCCTGTTCATCACTACTATGTTATACTTAATGGCTTCATGTGTATTGTTTTTATGCTGGTTATAGACCCTAGATACTGATGAGCACTGTATATGTGCTGTATCACTGAGCTACACCCCAACCTCATGTATACTTATTTCTAGTGCCTAAATACTATGGTAGAGAGTTCCTACTGCATTTTAATTAATTCTCTTAATAATATTCCTCAGACGTTTCAGTTGTTTCTTTTAGATTTTTATAAAGACTAAGTTAAAGTGTTATTGTGAAATGCAATTCAACCTCGTGAGTGTTGTCCATGTTCATATTTCATATCAGCAAAGAATAGAATAGCAGATGCAGGAGGGTAGGTGGAAGTTATGAGAAAAGGTCCTGAAGCAGAAGGGAACATGAAAGGGGGTTAGAACTCAAGCTCATGAGGTTTTTTATATGTATATCTTTATAAGATTTCATTGTCCAGTAGTATTTTATACAGTGAAATAATTGTACACATTGCCTCAGGTGAAGTTAAAGTTGATTTAAATTGGGTTACAAGTGCAAAGTTTTAGCTAATATTCTTCTTATACTAAAAGACATGTAGCAAGAATTCATCTACAGGAATGACTACCTTCAGTTTTTCTATAACTGGTACTATATGATAAAGAAAAAGACATTCTAAAAAGGAGTGGGAGTAAGGGTCAGCATGTTCTGGCCATCCTTCCACTTGTTTGTTCCATTATTATTTGGGCTTATCTGACCACATGGTACTATTTCTGATACAACCGTGAATTTCTCTTTACAAGTGGTAAATAACAATTTACTTGTGGGACTGGCCATCAAGCTGCCATCTTGTGGTCTGATTTCTCTCACCTCAGGGCTCAGCTACAGACCTAGTTCACCTCATCTCAGAAGTTACTCTATCTTGGACATGATTCTTTTCTGATAGCCTATCAATAATTACCTAGCTTTACTATCTGCAATATAAGCATTTATGTACAAAATTTTGTGTGGAATTATATCTTCAGAGCTCTTCTGTACATTACAAATATAGTAATTAATGAACAATATGGGAACAATAGTTGCACAAGTTATTGTTTCATTCAAAATTTATGATAAAATCCCATTTCCAGTAGTATAAATGAATAGGTAAACACCTAGTTTACCAAGAAAATGAATAGTATATACTCTTAGGTATAAATATTATCTGTATAGATATGGAGAGTTGGGTTACTTAGAAAATTAGGGTTAGATGAGTTTTTGGGGTGAGTGTAAAAGTACTGGAATTGAAGAACAGAGTAAGAGGAGAAAATATACCTATACTTTTGCACTCTCAATGAGACAGTGTGTGAAAATCTCAGGACTCTGATGCTTAGGATTTCTTATAAAATAGACTATATGGGAAAAGTCAGGTTTGGGGTTAAAAAAATTGGTTTTAGAAATGAGCAGAACATGTCTGTGATTAGGCACAGGGGACCTATGGAATATATTCAACTGGAAAGACATGGAATTAAGATTAGAAGGATTCATTCTTCGTTCGGTTTGTTTATTTTTTATTGAGTTAGGTTCTCACTATGTAGTTCATGCTGGCCTTCAACTGACCGTGGAGCCCACACTGGTCATAAATTTAGTTTAGGGTAGTCCTCCTGCATCAGCTTCCTAGATACAGGGATTATAGATATGCACAAACTTACTCGGCTCTGACTTCAACTTTTTTGAGAGGAGTTAAGACATCTCAGGATGTGAGTGTCGAATTTCCTTTGAGAAATATATGTATGGTGATTTAGGTGGCAGTGACCTTTGAGGATGTGGCTGTGAGCTTCACCAGTGAGGAGTGGGCTTTGCTGAATCCATCCCAAAAGAAGCTCTACAGGGATGTGATGGGGGAAACCTTTAGGAACATGACTGCTATAGGTAAGGATGGCATCTCTTTCTCACTTATACAATTAGAGAATATTGTTTATGTTCATCAGTGATATTTCATTACAAAGAATGTGAAAACATTTTGAAGAATTGCTCAGCCCTGGCTCCGTTATATCACGAATCTAACTGAAATCTATTAATTTTTCTGAATTAATATAATGAGTCCTTGTATTTCTATGTCTACAATTCAGGAAGAGCTGGGGAAAAGCAGAAAGTTGGAAAAGAATACCAAAGTGACTGGAGATATCTAAGGTAATTTGCACTCACAAGCAAAAAGAATGTTACTTAAGTGTCAGTGTGTGAGCAGAAATATGATAACCAAGAAAATGAGGCCAAATTCAATTTAATGTAAAAAATGTTCTCCAAAGATGTATACAACTTATTGATGTATAATCTGACAACTGAATCATGAAAGTACATGTAATTGAATTTAGGTGTTGCATACAGATTATATGAAAAGAATAAATTTTGAATTTTTACAGAACCTATCTTTAGGAAATCTATTTATGTATAATGTTAATATAACACATTTAGCATCTAAAAATTACTAACATTGAGGCAAAAATCAAAATACAATCAAATGCTTATGTTTCACTGTGTGTTTTCAAGCCATTCTCCAGAGAATTGAGTCCATTCTGCCTTAACCTTCTTATAAGGCTGATGAAATGTTAAGTAAAGTCACTATAATAATCAGTACACAAAGGTCTCTAAAAGTTGGTCCGGGCATAGTTGTCCTGGATATATTCTCAAAAGAGTCAAAAATCTTCATATTATGCACATACATGCATGCCCTTTCCCAAAGCAGGTAAATTTATAACCAGTAAGTCATTGAACCATCTTAGATATCTATCACTGTATGCATGGATTAGGAAAATTGTTGATAGGCTCTGTGTGATTGGGCATTCTTGTGAACCCTGCAGTCTGCTAAGTAGATTTTGCAAAATGCACGTTGAAGTTTAACCCCAACAACTTAATCATCATTGACAATCTCTGAAAACAAGAGATTTTGTGCTAAGAACTGTGTTTCATTCCCAGCATGGAAAGAAAAATGAAATGTGCTATATAATCAGTGAAAAATAGAAATGATATCATATTTATTGCCAAAAGAAATAGATAGTTCTTCCTCCAGTAATATTAAGTGAAATAACCACACAATATGGAAGTGATATGGTTTCTCTCATTTAAGAAACTGAAACATAAATTAGAGACTAATATAAGTAGAGGTGATAGACGAAAGAAAGACTGTTTAGAGATTGAACATACAAACAAGATAAGGAGAAAGAGGAGAGAGAAATATGAGGAAAAGCATCAAATGATGAATATGTGATATTCATATATATCAAATATAGAAAATGAAGCTAAATATTCAGTATTTCATAGTATACTAACTTTAAAATTGCCAAATGATTACCACTCTTTTGGGAATGGGTGTTTTGAACATATTCTGCAAGGCATTCAGTTAATTCATTGTGAAAATTTACTACAGGGATCAAAACAGAACTTGTCTTGGTAAATCATTAAGATGGAGACCCATTATGTTGTGTCTTGTGTTTTCTTTACAGAAATGAAAAGGTAGGGAAATGCTATCAGTATAAAGATTGGAATCAGTATGAAGAAATACTCCTTTGTACTCTAGATGCTACTGGAAATGTGAAACAAACAGACACACAGAGTGATGTTCAAATTTATGAAACAAATTGCATTGGAGAAAAACCATATGTATGTAAGCAATGTGGGAAAGCTTTTACCACACATAGATATTGTCAAATACATGAAAGTCTTCACACTGGAAAGAAACCTTATGTATGTAAGCAATGTGACAAAGCTTTCAGCACACGCACAAATTGTCGAGTGCATGAAAAACTTCATACTGGCAATAAACCCTATGTATGTACACACTGTGGAAAAGCTTTCAGCACGAAATGTCATTGTCAAACACATGAAAGAGTTCATACTGGAGAGAAACCCTATGTATGTAAACAGTGTGGGAAAGCTTTCAGTAGAAATACTCATTGTCGAAGACATGAAAAAACACACACTGGGGAGAAACCTTATGTATGTAAACAATGTGGGAAAGCATTTACCACACGTGTATATTGTAAAATACATGAAAGACTTCACACTGGGGAGAAGCCCTATGTATGTAAGCAATGTGGGAAAGCTTTCAACAGGTACAGTGATTGCAAAATACATGAAAGAACTCACACAGGAGAGAAGCCTTATGTATGTAAGCAATGTGAGAAAGCTTTTACCACACGCAGATCTTGTCAAATACATGAAAGAATTCACACTGGGGAGAAACCCTATGTATGTAAGCAATGTGGAAAAGCTTTTAGCAGGCACAATGCATTTAAGAAACATGAAAGAACTCACACTGGAGATTAATCCTATATATGTAAGGAATGTGTGAATAGTTTGTGCACATTTTTTGATTGTCACATATACGCAAGAGCTTACTGGGGAGAAATTCTATGTATGTGAGTAATGTGGGAAAGAGGCCAGTCCACACACATTGTTAAATATGTTAAAGAAGCCTCACTGGGGAGAAACTTTATATATGTAAACTTATTTTGAAAGTCTGATGAAAAATTTTCACATAGTGGAGTCCTGAAGAAATAATATAAAATGTTTGATGTGAGTATTTCTTCATAAAATTTCTACAAAATATAAATCTCAGGTAGAACTCTCCTAAAGCACATGCATTTTGTAGTTTTCAGTAAGTCACTTATGAATATCCATATTATGTATTTATAGGGTTAAAATAAAAATATTGAGTTGACCTAATTTTGTATTATAAAAAATTTAGTATTTTTGAATGTCTCTGTCCTTAATCCACACAGTGTCTTGTAATTAAATATGGTGAATTGAAAAATTATTTTTTTCCTCCTGGATATGGTTAAAGTCTATGTAAGTTATTTTTTGGCATTAAAACTGGGAGTTATAGATCATTAAAAACAACTTTTATTTTTTTTAATCATTAGGAATTAATGTACTGTGTTTTAAAAATTTGCTGTATATACTCTTGTTTCAAAAGATGTTTCTGAATTTCACTCTATATCTTTCAAAGTCTTGTGATCATGTGTTTCTGACAAGATTAGCTGTTTTTCACACAAGTTATATTTTAGCAAATGTTGCATTTTTCATATTGGGATGAGATACCTGCTTATATCCTAACATCACTGTACATTGTATCATGTACTCATGCATAATGTTGCATGTTTTTGTTACTTAATGGAGCCAATACTATTATTTTCATAAATGTTTATGTTTTCTTGCCATCAAAAATTAATTTTTCATGTTTATATTACAATGTCTTTGAATTTGGTGTTGTTGATTTCTCTTTTTTTTAATGGCATATATCCAAAATGAACCATACTGCTGTGAGATTCTACTTGTCATAGACCACCAGGACTATAACATGTCTCCAAAAGCATGTCAGGAATTATATTAATACCTTGAGAAAGTAGAAATGATGGTATAATTTATCAGTATCAACACTGAGTCTATGAGCTGTATAGTTGTTTCAGGGAGAATGGTTGCCATTGTGTTTACAAGGCCAATGCCTGTTCCATGGTATTGTGGTACCATTCTCTCTCTGGTAATCATTATTGTTTTTAACCTATTATACTGAACTAACCCACAGGAAGGAAAACCTACTTCATGTGAGGTAGCAATCACTTTAATAAAAAGTGAATTTACTATGTTATTATAATTCAGATTGTGCTCTGCCTTACCAATTTTTATATAAAGTTGTATAATAGTATTTCTTATTGCTCATAAGGGCAGCTGTTCCATATTTGGGGGATGTGCCAAGTGTCTGCAAACACATGCTCTGGGCTAAGGTATATGGGTGAGTCCCAGGTGGTCAGCTTTGATCTGTACTTTTTACTCTTTTTAACATCGATGTGTGATGTTTTATACAGTATTCTTCAATACAAAAGCTACTCTGATGGGGTTATATTGTTACAAACCTAGGTACCATAGCCTTGATTAATTTTTCTCATTGCTGGGATGAAATATCCAACATCCAAAATTATAAAAAAAATAATATCTATGTCACAGTTTGTGGAGATTTAGTCTATAATCACCTGGCTACAAGACAGGGTGACATGACAGAGAGACAATAGTTCGTGGCAGTGGAACACATCAAAATGACAAGTGTGAAAAGGGGGCATCAAACAAGTCCGTTTTCCTCCTTTATATTGCATACAGCCTACTTACCTTGGGGCACTTATAGCACTCACACCATCTCCCCGTCCTCTTTGCTCAGGCTCAGGATGTATATAAATTGAGGAACTTGACCTCTGATGAGTCACTTCACCTTCTGAACTTCTCAACTTGACTCAATGTATCAACCATTACAATCTATCCTGTGTCAACTTGGGAAAGAACCATTTCTTTATCATGATTTGCAGATACAAAGACATGCTTAATTCTTATCACTTCACAACTGCAACATTTTAACACAGGTTTAAAAATCCATAAGAACCAGTACTATATATATTAAAGTTATATTAGAGCCACAACCTTTTTTCCCTGACACCCCCCAAAGACTCATGCACATCCCTTTATGCAAAAAGATTTTAGTCCATCTGCAAGAGTTGCTAATATCCTAACAGTTTCCTCATTACTGAAAAGTCCAAGTCCTAAGTTTCCTCTGAGATATTAGGCAAACTCTTAGCTTCAAGTCCCCTGTACAAATGAAAAGTTAAACACTTCCAATAATGGTACATAGACTATATTGGAATATTTTGCTGAATTCACGCACCTACGATATTTAAATGACAACCTCTAACAAAACTAAACAAAAAAGGGGATACAAATGAACAACCGTTTTGTATCTGTATATTAAAAATAGTTATGATAGATATACAGCTACATTCTCTTAATTCAATGAATAGAAAGATTTGTTCTAGTAGTGTTTGTGGACAGGATATCATATCTGCATCTTGTACAATGAATATCTACTAAGACAACAATATGCAATGTATTAATTATTGAAACTGTCCTACTAATTGGTTTTGAAACTGTCTCATTACTATTTGTTTCTCAATAAAATTATTTAAAAAATAAAAAAAATTAATGGTACAAAGTAAACATTCTCATTCCCAAAGTTACAAATGGGGATACAAATGATTGAGAATAAATCAAGCCCAAAATCTGGCCGGGCAAACATTTAAGTCCTGTAGTTCCATGTCCAGCATCTGAAGCAAATCGGTGGCAAGTTGAGAACCCCAAAGGCTTGAGTGGCTCCACCCCACGATACTGCAGGTGAATCCCCCTGCCTCAATCCACACTGCTCAAAGTTAACATCTCACACTTCATCAAGGCTAGTGGGCCATCTATGCTCTAAGCAGCCCTCTCTGCCTTTGAGTTCTGTTGTATCCACAGGACAAAGAGTAGAAATATGAGCACATCCATTGCTCTACTTCTGGGAAAGAGCAGCAGAAAATCTGCCTAAACACACGGAGGAAGCACATGACTGTTGTGGAAAGCCAAGAATAAGGTCAGCTTCAAAGCAACATGAAATGGACCATAGTAGTAAGCCGGGGAACAGAAAAGTCTCAAAAGGGATCTGTCTCTTTGTTCATCATAGCCTGATATGGGATCATTTTCTTGTCCTTCAGATCTCAGTGTGGGTTTTTGATCAGTAGCCATTTAGAGATGCACATTAGCTGTATGAGCTGTGCATGGGAGAGTAGGACAGAAGGATCAGGCTGTTCCAAAATGTGGAGGCTTTATTTTTAACTGCCATACTTTAGACCTAGTGTCTCCTGCTGAGAAATAGCACAAGAGTGTCTGGCTACTTTGCTATGTGTACTCCTTAGGGTACAGGAATTGTGTAGACACAGAAACCCCTGGAAGCTAAAAATGTACGTGTGGCACTGGGTGCTCTGAGATGGATACAGATGATCTTGTTTGGACTTGTGAAACCTAGGGCCTTTGCATGAAATGTTCATGGTCTGTGACCTGTCCTCTTTATTGCTCTACACTCAGTCCATTCTAGACTGTACCATAGGGCTTGGTCTAAGGTGGGGTCCCCAGCATCATGTCCTGTTTCTGTTTCAATTTCCATTTCTTGCAGTGCCCTATTTTATCAGTGAAACACCAGCAGCTCTATCACTTGCTGTGCTCTGTGGTGACATCAGGAGGTTAAGTGGTATCTTCAGGTCATGTGCTATATCTATGCATGTGAAAAGATAATTCCTATGTCTGCACTCCTTTATCTCAAGAGAACCCTACATGTATTCAAATGTTTGGAAAGCAGAGTTAAATTAATGAATTGTGTTTAGATTCAAAGTATTCTGAAGGCCAGCATTATATCTGTTTTTTAGGTCTTGTCCACACTATCAAAGGTACTGCAATGGGTCATGCACAAGTGCCTGTGACTGGGGTTCCAGAAGTAGTGATGTGTTGTCTTCTCTGATGTGATAGTTATCATCCTTGGATTGTTTGTTAATATTATTTAAAAATTTAATTTCATGCTGACTGAGCTAGGACTTGTACTTATTTGAAAGGAATATTGAAGTATGGAGAAAGCCCCAGCTATGCATCCTGCAAACATCTCAATCATTCACCAAAAAGAAGAGCAAAGTAAGGAAGCTGAGATACAGGGGATGATGAAGGGTAACAGATTTGACTTCTGGATCAGAGGAGGTCTTCCTATCAGGTCTGGCTGGTCTCGGAGTAACAATAAGGCAGCAATAATTAGCTGAATAAACAAACCCAAACATGGAATATTTGATGTTTCCCTTACTCCCTTTATGAAAAAAAAAACAGGAAAAATAAATTAGAGGAACAGAAAGGGTTTTATATATTGTTTTTAGTACATACACAAGAGTGGAGTGTGGACCCTGGAGTAAAAGGATTACAAGGGTCTAAAGAACCAAACTCCCACTTTTCTGGTGTGGCAGGTTAAGTGATGGTCAACTTGGAATCTCCAAGTGATCGAGTCACCATGTTTTTGCCTGTGGAAAGTGCACCTGAGGATTGTAACCAGCAGCATAAAGGGAGAACAGGAGGGGAAAGATTTATACTGTTGATTCTCCTGGGGAAGCTTGTCACTGGTTTTCCAGATAGGAATTCATGTGTTATCATCAGAGGAGCACATGTTCACAATGTTGCTGTGGATGGCTGATTTTCACGTCTGGGAGCTCTGGTCCTTATCCTGAAGGCTGCTTCCTGGATCCAGTGCAGATGCCTCAGGCTGATATCATAGATCCTTCTTCCCACTGGCACAGAGTTTCCAGCTTCCACCACTCACATTTGTGCCTTCCTGAAGGAGATTATTTGTATAGACTAGCCTAAGACATTGTGTTGGGCTCTAGATCTCCAGCTAGACTCATGGAGGACATTGCCACAGACTCTAGGTCTTCAGGATTGCTGGTGGTAGATATTGCCATGGGACACGGCCTCATCCAGATTCTTTGGGTCTCAAGTGTGTGGACAGATCTCTCACAATCTTCTGCATTTGACTTTTTGAGTGAATGTACTAAAATAATTCTATAAAGTATATGTTCTGTATTAAATCTATTTTCTTGTAAACCTTGACTACAACAGGTTTGAAATGATAATTTGTATCAGTGTTGAGACACAGGAAAGTTCTTTCTTCACCTAATATTTCAT